GTCGTCCATCATGGTCTCTACTCCTGGAATGTGCTCGAAGATCATATGAATAGTCTTGTGGTAGACCTCTGGTGCTGAGAGAATCCCATATGGTAGACGAAGAAATCTGTACCTGCCCTCAGGTGTGTTGAAGGTGCATAGCCTTGAGCTTGCATCATCTAGCTTCATTTGCCAGAATCCTGATGAGGCGTCAAGCTTACCGAAACACTTTGCTCCAACAAACTGCAACATTCTCTTCTCTGGTTGGCAACTTGAAATGCTTGATAGCTTTGTTGAGATCTCTCGGGTCTAGACATATCCTGAGATCGCTGTTCTTTTTCACCACAATAACCAGTGAGCTTACCCAATCTGTAGGTTCATCAATTTTTGTGATGACGTCCATCTTTTCCATGCGTCTGAGTTCCTCCTTGAGCTTTTTCCTCAGTGCAAATGGAACTTTTCTGTACAACTGGAGTAATTTTGTCATCAGTACATATTGTGTTCTTCAGGTAAACATCCGAGACCCTCACACACGTCCTCGTACTCAGCCAGTAGCGACTCTTGGTCATTTTCAGTCTGTCACTACATACTCTTTTCACCAAATTGAGCTTTTCACATGCTCTGATTCCTAGAATAGGCTGTACACTCTCTTCCACGATCAGCAGCTGTCCTTTGAACTGTTTTCCTTTGTGCTGTAAAGTTACTATGCAGATTCCTTTAACTGGTACGTTCTCCCCAGTATAACCACTAACCTTCCTTTAACTGGTACGTTCTCCCCAGTATAACCACTAACCTTCCTTTAACTGGTACGTTCTCCCCAGTATAACCACTAACCTTCCTTTAACTGGTACGTTCTCCCCAGTATAACCACTAACCTTCCTTTAACTGGTACGTTCTCCCCAGTATAACCACTAACCTTGATTTAACTGGTACGTTCTCCCCAGTATAACCACCAACCTTGATTTAACTGGTACGTTCTCCCCAGTATAACCACTAACCTTGATTTAACTGGTACGTTCTCCCCAGTATAACCACTAACCTTGATTTAACTGGTACGTTCTCCCCAGTATAACCACTAACCTTCCTTTAACTGGTACGTTCTCCCCAGTATAACCACTAACCTTGATTTAACTGGTACGTTCTCCCCAGTATAACCACTAACCTTGATTTAACTGGTACGTTCTCCCCAGTATAACCACTAACCATCTGATTTCTCCAGGTAACCTGATTGTTATGGACTTCCATATACCCCTACCTTCATGTGTTCTCCCAGTATAACCACGAACCTTTACAGGTTTTCCTACTCCAGTATACGCACTTAACCTGAGTATTATTAAGTTTATATTCATCATCAATGGCACAATCCATTCAGCTTTTACTGCATTGCATATTTCCACAGAATCAACAAAGAATCCTTCAGTCTCCTCTTTTTCTTTGTAGCCTCAGCTTTGCAGCATTTTGAGAAATTATTATTTTTCCCACAGTTGTTACACGATTTACCATATGCAGGGCAATTTTTTGGGCTTGTGGGTAACTCCATTATCCACACGTAGTGTTTTCATTTCTCTTTTGCTTGTTTTTGTTTTGTAAAGCGTTGTGTTGCTCCTCTCTTTTTATTGTACTGACGTCTCATCCCTGCTCAGCTCTTTAGCTTGTGCTCTGGTGGTTTCAGCTGCTTCACACATTCACTGCTTTATCCAAAGTTAAATCTTGCTTATGCAGCAATCTCTCCTTGAGTCCATTATCAAGTATGCCACAGACTATCCTGTCTTTCACTAGTGAGTCTTTCAGATTTTCAAATTCACACGTTTTGCTCAGTGTGTTCAGCTCAGCCAAGTACTGGTCAAAACTGACTCCCTGTTTCTGATCATGAGAGGAAAAACTTGTATCTCTCAAACGTGACGTTCTGGCTTGGTACAGTCAATGTCAAGTTTGCGTCGTCTAGCTGAAAGCTATTGTAAATGTCCAATGCATCCTCTCCATTAACATGCAGAAAAATTGAAGCTTTCAATTTGTCGTCATCTCCCCCTGCTCCACTGGCTGCTAGGTAGATATTGAATCTCTGCTTGAAACGTTTCCAATTGTCAGTTAGATTGCCTGTTAACTGCATAAGAGTAGGAGGACTAAGCCTATCCGTGACGGGAAACAGGAACAGTTTCCATTTCTCTTACTTCAGTAGGTTGCTCATCAACTTGCTCATCAACTTGCTCGTCAACAGATTCCAGTGCTGCTGTGGCTCGTTGGCATCGCTCTTGCAAGCTAGCATCTTCGACTACTCATTTCACTTGACTTGTGGTAGAATGTTCAATTTTCGTTGTGGAAATTTGCAGAGTTACTCCTTTCTTTTCTCTGTCTCGTCATAGCGACTACCAATCTGACACCATCTTATGTTTGTTCCTTTAACTAATGACAAACCGGGGCGTAGGTTGAACTACTTTTAATAAACTGATACTTCAGCTAGCAATCTCCTTGTGTCGCCATGCAAGGCATACTTCAACTTCCCCCCCCCTCGCATAGCCTGCTGGGTAACGTAGTCTTCATGTTATTAACACATAACAACACATTGAGGACTTGGTGGACTGTATATTCTGTAGGGTTAGGTTTTACTTGGCACTATGTGTTCTCTCCCAGGTGCTTGTAAGGGCACAGATGACAGACCGGTATGATTCCAGTTGAGGTTGTTTAATGACGCTGATTCACAGAGCAGTAACGGCACAGTACAGTGTATGGCTTGACAATTGTGTTAACCAAGAGTTTGTGTGTGGTTCTGAAAAAGGGGAAATGAAATACAATAGTAAAATGACAGGTGTAGGCTTAATACAACCTCCAATTACATAACCTATTGTAGCCATATTATTTATAGGTTATCTGCTGCACAGGGCAATACAACCTAACAACATGGCTGTGACTTCACTAATGAATGATCAGAGGAGCGCAACTACACAGCACTACTGAGCAGCACCATCATCCTCACACAACTGCATGAACTTCAATGTATAATGCATCCACACGGCTCATTGCTAACAAAATACCCACATAATTTATACACAATACATCCATATAACCACAGTGTAGACCTGCACCAGGCTGGGAAGACTGAATCTGCAATAGGTAAGCAGCTTGGTTTGAAGAAATCAACTGTGGGAGCAATTATTAGGAAATGGAAGACATACAAGACCACTGATAATCTCCCTCGATCTGGGGCTCCACGCAAGATCTCACCCCGTGGGGTCAAAATGATCACAAGAACGGTGAGCAAAAATCCCAGAACCACACGGGGGGACCTAGTGAATGACCTGCAGAGAGCTGGGACCAAAGTAACAAAGCCTACCATCAGTAACACACTACGCCCCCAGGGACTCAAATCCTGCAGTGCCAGACGTGTCCCCCTGCTTAAGCCAGTACATGTCCAGGCCTGTCTGGAGTTTGCTAGAGTGCATTTGGATGATCCAGAAGAGGATTGGGAGAATGTCATATAGTCAGATGAAACCAAAATAGAACTTTTTGGTTAAAAACTCAACTCGTCGTGTTTGGAGGACAAAGAATGCTGAGTTGCATCCAAAGAACACCATACCTACTGTGAAGCATGGGGGTGGAAACATCATGCTTTGGGGCTGTTTTTCTGCAAAGGGACCAGGACGACTGATCCGTGTAAAGGAAAGAATGAATGGGGCCATGTATCGTGAGATTGAGTGAAAACCTCCTTCCATCAGCAAGGGTAATAAAGAGGAAACGTGGCTGGGTCTTTCAGCATGACAATGATCCCAAACAACGAAGGAGTGGAAGCCACGTAAGAAGCATTTCAAGGTCCTGGAGTGGCCTAGCCAGTCTCCAGATCTCAACCCCATAGAAAATCTTTGGAGGGAGTTGAAAGTCCGTGTTGCCCAGCGACAGCCCCAAAACATCACTGCTCTAGAGGAGATCTGCATGGAGGAATGGGCCAAAATACCAGCAACAGTGTGTGAAAACCTTGTGAAGACTTACAGAAAATGTTTGACCTGTGTCATTGCCAACAAAGGGTATATAACAAAGTATTGAGAAACTTTTGTTATTGACCAAATACTTATTTTCCACCATAATTTGCAAATAAATTCATTAAAAATCCTACAATGTGATTTTCTGGATTTTTTTTTCTTTCATTTTGTCTGTCATAGTTGACGTGTACCTATGATGAAAATTACAGGCCTCTCATCTTTTTAATTGCACAATTGGTGGCTGACTAAATACTTTTTCCCCCCACTGTAAGACTAGACACTGAAATGGTAAATGTCTGAAATTAGATGACAAACAACAGGGTTAGCAAGCTTACAGTTGCTAGCTTGCGGTAAAAACGTGAATTAGCATAACAAAGGAGTGTGAATTGTAAGAAATATGAACTCACATTTCTGAAGGACATACACTGGCCTTGGCTAAATTAAAGAATGCTAACTGAAGGTCATCACAGGAGATGGCTGGAACTTATCACAGCTTGTGTACTTTCTCTAGTTACTTCCTTCTCAGTTAAAGATCGCCCAGCATGCTGTGCTCCACATCACTTGTGGGCGGAGCTACAGCGCTCCTATGATGAACTGATATTTACTCTCAGTAGTCTTTCGTACATATAGTATGTGATATTTAAATAATCTAGTATACTTCAAATGGCCAGATGTCAGTCATTTCGGCTTTGGCAACAGCTGATCAATTAGATATGGGGATACCCTACCGAAATCAATAGCGGGAAACAACTCAATCACGTTTTATAGTATGTGAATTTTTGAAAATCAAGTATGGTTTAAATGCCAGGATGTTATACTAATTGACTCTTCATCTAGTAGAATTCGATGCACACTTTCTCACAATGCATTGGAAGAGGTGGGCTGCGAGTGATAGGCCCTAATTCTCTTCAAGTAGCCAAAACACAACTAGGCTACTTAAAGATACGTTTTACTAAATTGTATTTTCTATGATTAGGTTCAGTGGTCCGCAGAGATTGTACATTGGAGTCCAGCACATCTTGCATACCCTGTATCAGAGGGACATTCATGAACGAGGCCAATGGTCTAACCAAGTGCTTTCCCTGCACTCCCTGTGACCCAGGTACATTAAAATGTTCTTCCAAACCTTCCCACCTTTCCTTTTAGCTGCGCACATCATACCCTTTTCACTGCGGAGCTGAGTTGTATTGCACTGGCTGGGTTCTGCATCCACCAATTGGAAAGTACAATGTAAAAAATTAAAATATCTAAGCCAGTGTCGTACGTTTCAGGTCACCACAATAGTGTTTAAAGGGTATGAGGTGCCTTCTTCTCACAAGTAGTCCTCTGACTGAAATGAATCAACCCTGATATTTTCCAGGACAGGGCCTTTTCACTCAGACAGAGTGCACAACAACAAGTAACACAGTGTGCCACGTTCTAGATGGATACTACTGTAGAAGCTACTCATCCAACTCAGAGTGTAGCTTTGCAGTGGCACATACACAATGTTCACCGGGCCAGAGCACTACTGCACCTGGTAAGTATGAAGTAGAGGCTAAATATCGTACAGGACATCAGAATTCTGATCATTGAATATAGCATGGGACTCTAGATAGCTTTGTGTTTACCTCAGGTGATTTTTGACTTGTCCAGCACCAAAATGGTTAACTTTTGAACGTGATAACACCATTTGTTCTCACCTTACAGGAACAAAGACAACAGATACCATTTGTGAGGAGTGTCAGCATGGTTTTTACTCACAACATGGTGTGAACTGCACAGCTTGGACTGAGTAGGTCATCGTTTGTGTACTAGACTTTCTTGAATTGCTTTAGGTTTTCTTTCTTTAAAAGATAATTGGGATATTGATGATATTATATATTTCACAAAGCAGTATCAATGCTCAGATAGCAATCTATAGATTCAGTTCTGGCAACCAGATATTGGTTGACAATATAATTACAGGCTGGCTTAATGGTAAATCCATTTGAATTCTTTCACTTCTTGACAGCACCTCTTTTGATTTGAACGAAACTTTCCATACATATTTGCCCATTGTAGAAGTACTCAGAAAGTGACTTTTTGGACCTGAATGCCAAAACATTCAAGAGATAAAGGTGCTCAAAGTTGACCTATTTTGCATACCCCACCATACCATGAGACAGCCATCTCTTCATCACTGGAAAATATGACTGGTTTAGATTGATATCATTTAAAAGTTTACAAACAGGGTTGTCAAACAATTTGATAATAAAAACAATATTTTAACTTCAACGTAAATGATCTAAAAACGCATATAGTTTAGACCCTATTTTAGGTCATGAGGTTTTATGTGTTGTACCCTCCATCGGGTGAGACTCAACATGTTCTTGAATACAGGGTGTTTTGCCTAATAAATATACTAAAATGGGAATACAATTGTAATTTCACCTTTCAAATGGTACCACAAAGATGGTTGGAGGTCCACACATCAGTGAATATCTGTTTTACATTACACTGTCAATCCTCCATAGGGAACCTATTGAAATCATAGAAATACAGATCATAGAATAGACATGACCGTTTAAGTTGACATTTGATGGTGGGTGGACCGGCGGCCATCTTTGTGTTAGTAATTAGTACTCATCACTGCATTCTCTCAGAATGTTGGTTGGCCCTCTTTGATGTCACGTAGGTTGATACATTGCTATGTTTTCATTTATAAAGCCCTTTTACAAAAAGTCCCACTGTACCTAACATCTTTACTAAACTTTAGACATACGAGTTACCACACCCGATCTCAGGGATGGTTAACTCTGGAAATTCCTTTGGTCTCTACGCAGTTAGGTAAATCCGCTGTTAGTTCTTGCACCTTATTTGTGTAACAATCTTCAAAATGTTCTTAAATGTGATGTTTTGTTGTCTCTAGGATAATTCAGAAAGCTGAATGAGGTCCTTATTACTGATAAATGTGTTTGTTCTTTATGACCATGTTTTCTTTCTACTTGCATTTTGAATGTATTTTGATGTGTCTATTTTCTGTACTTAATATAATTCAGGGCTCATCTGTAAAAGAGACATTGGTCTCAGTATGACTCCTTGATAAAATAAAATAAAAAATAAAGTAAACGGTGTACCAGATGAATTACAGTGGTCTGAAGGGATAGGTCCTATCCCTATCAATTATATTTGTATTATTGAAGTAACATCCACCCTGTTTAAGAGCATGTTCAGTCTCCACTGATAACAGGCTACAAGTAGGGTCTAGGCTACAATATATGCAAACAATCTGAGTGTACGCATTTTTTATAATTGACGTTAAATGTCAATTATTATTAAGAAATAACTTTTTCAAGAAATTATAAAATAGTTTAACAACCCTGTTTGTAAGCTTTTAAATTATATCAAACTCAACGGTTTATCTTTTCCAGTGATGAAGCCATGGATGTCTCATGTTATGGTGGGCTTTGCAAAATGGGTCAAATTTGAGCACCTTTATCTCCTGTGTTTTTTTTCCCCATTCAGGTCCAAAAAATAACTTTCTGACCACTTCTTCTATAGGCAAACATTGAATTCAAAATGGATTTACCCTTAACCCATATACAGTGAGGGAAAAAAGTATTTGATCCCCTGCTGATTTTGTACGTTTGCCCACTGACACAGACAAGATCAGTCTATTATTTTAATGGTAGGTTTATTTGAACAGTGAGAGACAGAATAACAACAAAAAAATCCAGAAGAACGCATGTCAAAAATTTTATAAATTGATTTGCATTTTAATGAGGGAAATAAGTATTTGACCCCTATGCAAAACATGACTTAGTACTTGGTGGCAAAACCCTTGTTGGCAATCAGAGGTCAGACGTTTCTTGTAGTTGGCCACCAGGTTTGCACACATCTCAGGAGGGATTTTGTCCCACTCCTCTTTGCAGATCTTCTCCAAGTCATTAAGGTTTCGAGGCTGACGTTTGGCAACTCGAACCTTCAGCTCCCTCCACAGATTTTCTATGGGATTAAGGTCTGGAGACTGGCTAGGCCACTCCAGGACCTTATTGTGCTTCTTCTTGAGCCACTCCTTTGTTGCCTTGGCCGTGTGTTTTGGGTCATTGTCATGCTGGAATACCCATCCACGACCCATTTTCCTGGCTGAGGGAAGGAGGTTCTCACCCAAGATTTGACAGTACATGGCCCCGTCCATCGTCCCTTTGATGCGGTGAAGTTGTCCTGTCCCCTTAGCAGAAAAACACCCCCAAAGCATAATGTTTCCACCTCCATGTTTGACGGTGGGGATGGTGTTCTTGGGGTCATAGGCAGCATTCCTCCTCCTCCAAACACGGCAAGTTGAGTTGATGCCAAAGAGCTCGAATTTGGTCTCATCTGACCACAACACTTTCACCCAGTTCTCCTCTGAATCATTCAGATGTTCATTGGCAAACTTCAGACGGGCATGTATATGTGCTTTCTTGAGCAGGGGGACCTTGCGGGCGCTGCAGGATTTCAGTCCTTCACGGCGTAGTGTGTTACCAATTGTTTTATTGGTGACTATGGTCCCAGCTGCCTTGAGATCATTGACAAGATCCTACCGTGTAGTTCTGGGCTGATTCCTCACAGTTCTCATGATCATTGCAACTCCACGAGGTGAGATCTTGCATGGAGCCCCAGGCCGAGGGAGATTGACAGTTATTTTGTGTTTCTTCTATTTGCGAATAATCGCACCAACTGTTGTCACCTTCTCACCAAGCTGCTTGGCGATGGTCTTGTAGCCCATTCTAGCCTTGTGTAGGTCTACAATCTTGTCCCTGACATCCTTGGAGAGCTCTTTGGTCTTGGCCATGGTGGAGAGTTTGGAATCTGATTGATTGATTGCTTCTGTGGACAGGTGTCTTTTATACAGGTAACAAGCTGAGATTAGGAGCACTCCCTTTAAGAGTGTGCTACTAATCTCAGCTCATTACCTGTATAAAAGACACCTGGGAGCCAGAAATCTTTCTGATTGAGACGGGGTCAAATACTTATTTCCCTCATTAAAATGCAAATCAATTTATAACATTTTTTACATGGGTTTTTCTGGATTTTTTTGTTGTTATTCTGTCTCTCACTGTTCAAATAAACATACCATTAAAATTATAGACTGATCATTTCTTTGTAAGTGGGCAAACGTACAAAATCAGCAGGGGATCAAATACTTTTTTCCCTCACTGTACAACTTGACATTACAATATGCTGTACTTGACCTGTCTAATTAAATACGTTTTTATGTGTTGCTTACTCTGCAGTTGTGCAGCGATGGGACACGTGAAGACTAAAGACGGAAATTCTAGACAAGATGTTATTTGTAACAAAGTTCAATTAAGGAGTCATTGCACTCTAATAGCTCCACCATTATTTATCCTAACACTGTTTTGTCTCTACCTGGCAAGAGGTTAGTCTTTTATTTATTTAACTTTATTGCTCTAAATTAGTCGCTTCTCTAAAGGCATGTAATTGTCATGTAACTTACAATTGTAATACATAAACATGCAATTAATGGTGAGTTGTCTTTACCCCTACTAATCTGATTACGCTTGTTGTGTTTTCTTCAGCTAAACGTAGGAAAGGTCAGTCTCAATTTATTTTCATTAATACCTTCCTCACCATGTTAACTAGTTTGTTTTTCCTCTGAATGACTCTTTTTACTGAACTTTCAGAGATGCATGAATTCTGTGAGGTAGGTCATTTTATTTCAACATTTCTATTTGTTTAAAATATTTTGAAATCTTAGTAATTTGAAGTGAATATAAACCCTCTTAACATTTATGCAAGCAAATCCATTATCAAAGTTAGTTTTTCTTGAAAAATGATTTCTAGTGAGTGAAAAATTGTTAATTTTATGGCTAAAGAATCCAATGTTGTTATTGTCATTTAGTCTGTTTTAGTTGCTATAGCAATCCTAACTTATGTAATACATCATAGGTTCCTGTGCAAGAAACGGGACCTCTACAAGTCACCAGTAACTCCCTGTACGTCATCCATTTGGATTCAATATTTCAGACTATCATAGTAATAACTGAGTAATGCAGATTACTTTATACTAGGGCCGGGACGATAACAGTTTCGTGATGCTCGTTAGTGTATTGTGACAAGGAAACGAAACATGAAGCGGCTTGAACATCTTTAGGAAAACAGCCCTAATGTTGGAAACAAACATGTTGTCATGCAGTCACATGTATTTATTTTCCAAGCTATAGCAGACAATATTTTACATACAGAAGGTTTTTAAAGGACCAAAGTTTGGTCTGCTTCGTGTTTTAATTTTGCCATGGGAAAAATATTGCAACACTGGTATCGTCCCGACCCTACTTTATACTATTACTAACTAAATTATTGACTTGTTTGCTTCTTGTTTTCCAGAGTGGAAACAGCAGAGAATGTGCCTGGAAATGTTGTAACGGATGTTGACATTCAGCATCCACTAAACTCGGATGAAGTACCATGAATGCATGCAGATACCCAGAAGGCTCTAAAACTGGCGCACGTAGATACAGTATTTGCTGGGGAGTAAATGAATTGAGTACTTTCGAACTGCATTGCATTTGCTCTTGGATTCTGACTAATAAGTGTAGTTACCGAGCGTGGACTGTTGAACATGGTGACTGAAACTGCTCATCCTCCTACCACATCTAATATCTACCAGGACATCGTCACGTTTTACTTACACTTTTTATATGAAACTGGTCATCCTTTTACATTTACATTTTTGTCATTTAGCAGACGCTCTTATCCAGAGCGACTTAGTTAGTGAATGCATATTTTATATATATTTTTTTATACTGGTCCCCCGTGGGAATCGAACCCACAACCCTGGCGTTGCAAACGCCATGCTCTATCAACTGAGCTACATCCCTGCTGGCCATTCCCTACCCTACCCTGGGCCAATTGTGCGCCGCCCCATGGGTCTCCCGGTCGCGGCCGGCTGCGACAGAGCCTGGATTCGAACCAGGATCTCTAGTGGCACAGCCTTAGACCACTGCGCCACTCAGGAGACACATCTAATATCTACCAGGACACTTTACTTACACCTTTTTATATTAACAGTACCTGTGGATTTTAAATAAACCTTTCTAATTTCACTGTTTGAAACAGCGCCCCTCTGTCTCTATGGGTTAATTTATTCTTATTTAATTTGAAGTTAATTCATGCCAGTTTCAGTATAAATTTTACAGCAGGCTATCTTTCAATCAGAGATGTTCTGTTTTAGTTGAAATGTTAGGCAAAGTGAAAGAATTGGATGAGGATATCGTTCAAGGCCTTCAATACAAAGGAAAGTATTTGAGATGAGCAAAGTTCATTTATGTTCCATTTTAGTTTTACAGTTTAATTCTAGATGTGTGTTGTGCTCTGTTGGTTCTGGTATCAGTTTTAGTTTGAAGAGTCCTGTAACCTTAAGTTTATACTTTCTTTTTCATTTTGTTTAAGTTTCCATTTTAGTCAACCTTTATGGTTCAAAGGCAGAGGGATACAGTGGGGAAAAAAAGTATTTAGTCAGCCACCAATTGTGAAAGTTCTCCCACTTAAAAAGATGAGAGAGGCCTGTAATTTTCATCATAGGTACACGTCAACTATGACAGACAAATTGAGGAAAAAAATTCCAGAAAATCACATTGTAGGATTTTTAATGAATTTATTTGCAAATTATGGTGGAAAATAAGTATTTGGTCACCTACAAACAAGCAAGATTTCTGGCTCTCACAGACCTGTAACTTCTTCTTTAAGAGGCTCCTCTGTCCTCCACTCGTTACCTGTATTAATGGCACCTGTTTGAACTTGTTATCAGTATAAAAGACACCTGTCCACAACCTCAAACAGTCACACTCCAAACTCCACTATGGCCAAGACCAAAGAGCTGTCAAAGGACACCAGAAACAAAATTGTAGACCTGCACCAGGCTGGGAAGACTGAATCTGCAATAGGTAAGCAGCTTGGTTTGAAGAAATCAACTGTGGGAGCAATTATTAGGAAATGGAAGACATACAAGACCACTGATAATCTCCCTCGATCTGGGGCTCCACGCAAGATCTCACCCCGTGGGGTCAAAATGATCACAAGAACGGTGAGCAAAAATCCCAGAACCACACGGGGGGACCTAGTGAATGACCTGCAGAGAGCTGGGACCAAAGTAACAAAGCCTACCATCAGTAACACACTACGCCGCCAGGGACTCAAATCCTGCAGTGCCAGACGTGTCCCCCTGCTTAAGCCAGTACATGTCCAGGCCCGTCTGAAGATTGCTAGAGTGCATTTGGATGATCCAGAAGAGGATTGGGAGAATGTCATATGGTCAGATGAAACCAAAATATAACTTTTTGGTAAAAACTCAATGCTGAGTTGCATCCAAAGAACACCATACCTACTGTGAAGCATGGGGGTGGAAACATCATGCTTTGGGGCTGTTTTTCTGCAAAGGGACCAGGACCACTGATCCGTGTAAAGGAAAGAATGAATGGGGCCATGTATCGTGAGATTTTGAGTGAAAACCTCCTTCCATCAGCAAGGGCATTGAAGATGAAACGTGGCTGGGTCTTTCAGCATGACAATGATCCCAAACACACCGCCCGGGCAACGAAGGAGTGGCTTCGTAAGAAGCATTTCAAGGTCCTGGAGTGGCCTAGCCAGTCTCCAGATCTCAACCCCATAGAAAATCTTTGGAGGGAGTTGAAAGTCCGTGTTGCCCAGCGACAGCCCCAAAACATCACTGCTCTAGAGGAGATCTGCATGGAGGAATGGGCCAAAATACCAGCAACAGTGTGTGAAAACCTTGTGAAGACTTACAGAAAACGTTTGACCTGTGTCATTACCAACAAAGGGTATATAACAAAGTATTGAGAAACTTTTGTTATTGACCAAATACTTATTTTCCACCATAATTTGCTAATAAATTCATAAAAAATCCTACAATGTGATTTTCTGGATTTTTTTTCCTCATTTTGTCTGTCATAGTTGACGTGTACCTATGATGAAAATTACAGGCCTCTCATCTTTTTAAGTGGGAGAACTTGCACAATTGGTGGCTGACTAAATACTTTTTTTCCCCATTGTAGATGGTACTGTTAAAGTTAGAGCACTGCTGTGGTAATCAGTATATGGCTGTATACCCATCAGACTGTATCAAATGGACAGTGGTATGAAGTACTTAAGCAAAAATACTTCAAAGTACTATTAAGTAGTTTTTGGGGGTATCTATACTTTACTATTTATATTTTTGACAACTTTTACTTCACTACATTCCTAAAGAAAATAATGTACTTTTTACTCCATACATTTTCCCTGACACCCAAAAGTACTCGTTACATTTTGAATGTTTAGCAGGACAGGAAAATGGTCTAATTCACACACTTATCATCTCTACTGCCTCTGATCTGGCGGACTCACTAAACCACAAATGCTTCATTTGTAAATGATGTCTGAGTGCTGGAGTCTGCCCCTGGCTTTGTGTAAAAAAAAAAAAAAAAGGACAATTGTGCTGTCTTGTTTGATTAATATAAGGAATTTGAAATCATACATTTACTTTTGATACTTAAGTATATTTAAAAACAATTACTTTAAGACTTTTACTCAAGTAGTATTTTACTTGGGTCTTTCTATTAAAATTATCTTTTCTTTTACTCAAGTATGACATTAGGTACTTTTTCCACCACTGCAAATGAAAAGGTCACAACTTGTTGTTCAGTACATGTATGAGCTACAATACTATCACAGAAGTCTGAAATATACAGTGCAGAGGAGTCCCTACTTCCTACCTGACCTCTGGGTACATCCTCGTTATGAGAAATTATATCTTGGTCTTTCTTCAAACACTCTTCTTCAAACTCTGACCAGTGAGTGATTTCCTCACCGAACATCAATATATTCTGCTCCTGTAAAAAGTGGGATTACAATACTACAACTACAGTCAATACCAACCTCAAATATGGTGCACAGCCCACTGAACCAACCATAGTGCTAACAACCATCAGATCTGGGCTATCAATAAAGTGTCTACATGGATGTTTTGATTTCAGACTGATCCCCACCAATCTGTATAAAATGATGTACCTTCTCATGTAGTAGGGTCATGTACCATGGTACCTTCCCCCCTGTGTCCTCAGACATGGTGGTTCTGGTGAAGTTAGGCTTGTTCTGATGACCTTCTCTGGCTGCTGCTGGGTCCAAGCAGACTAATGTTCCTTTCTGCAGCCATTAACCTGCAGGCTTCAGAGAAAAACATTTCCAGTTGAGCATGGTTGCAGAAGCACAACACTGGCTGAAAGGTTACAAACAATCCAACAGCTGAAAGGGGCTGACAATTTACACTTTTAAAAGGCAAGTGAAGGCAAAATGTGGACTTTATTACAGATTCATTCATTTCAATAAGCTGGCGACATTAATTAACTTACAACTAAGGG